TAGAAGTGATAGATTGTACATTTTATCAGAAGAGCGATTCAAGGCCCTTGGGCCTCTTGTCTTCCCCTGCAGCGAATGGCGGAGCACCAATGTAATGTCAAATGTAAAGGGCAATAAAGCCACAGGTAGTCAAAGAAATATGCAAGCATACTTAGTTAGTGTAGAAAGTTTGTTCAAATCATGCCCTCTCCCCTTTAAGGATTGGTGGGAACACTTTTGGGTTTAAACTTTTTTTTTATTAATAATAAACTGATTTCTGATTTTTCCCTGCCACAGTGCTCAGTTGAGCGATGTGGCCATGGTCCTCTTGTTATCGAATTATTTACTTCATCTTTGTGTATCAGTTGACTTCAATTTTGTATACATTGTGAGGGTTGACCCCATGTATATGACTTCTTTTTATGTTAATTGCATTGTGCATGACTTAACTGTGTGTGAAGTTGTGCATTTTATCTTCTAAAAATGTCAACTAAAGAAAATACACCTTTTTTTTGATATACAACATACAGCAATCTATAAAATGTACCGGTATAACAAATAAAAATTTTTTTTGTTTCAATAAGAGAAATTGCACTTGTCCCATTGGTGGAATTATTCAGGCAATGGTATTAAGGCGTTTCAATATGATTTGCATTGGTCAATTGTTAAGGCAGTGCTCTGCTGGCACCCTATAGTGATCAGTCTGTCCATTTGTCCTTCTGTTCGTCTTCCTGTCTGCGATCTCGTGTCTGGAGCATATTTTCCCTCTCCTTGGCCAAATCTTGCTCATCTGATAAAGGATGTGAAGTGACCTTGAACTTTTTTTGTAGGTTTAAGGTTAAGGTCATATCAGAATTATATGAAAAATCCTTGTCCAGATTACTGGTATATCTTCTCTCCCCTTGATCTAATGTGGCTCATACTTCACTCAAAGAGTGCCACTAGTTAATGGATGTGCAGTGTGAACAGTGTATCTAGGTCAATGATCAAGGTCAAAAATAGTCTTTGTTTAAAATCTTTGTTCGGTGCTTTATTTCTTTCCCTCAAGTCCAGTCAGAAGCAAATTTTACCCATTGACTTAGGGAAATTTACAGAAAATTTCATTGATAATGGTTGAGTCTTACCTGAGAGGTGATTAGTATTTATTAATTAAAAAGAAGTAAACATGGCAAGATGATATCTTACTGAGAGATAATATTTTTCTAATTTTCAAAGATCATGGAAAAGTTAGTATATTTTTCTATAAATATTTCAAAAATCGCATCTGCAAATTAACATATATGATTCATTTATTTTATTGAATGATTTGTTGGTTAACAAAATTTGTTTAGAGATGACAGATGAGATCTTTTAGTAGGAAAATAAGTTTATTGGAGCTATAAAGAATTATTTTTAGATAGGTTAAAGTGAGCTTTTCTGATCAAAATTTGTTGTCTGTCGTCGCTGTTGTTAAATATATACATAGATATAATGAGTGAGAATGCTTCTTTCAAAATTTTATGGCTCCTGAGTCACAGGTTCTGGTGTTGTGGGGTGGGGGCTCTATTGATTACTGAGTATATAGTGAAAATACACTAATTCTTTGAAAATCTATGTACCTGGGTAATAAATAAAAAACAAGTACATTTTTTTTAATAAGACTGCCTCTTCCAAAATTGCAAATTTTATGGCCCAGGGTGAGGGGATCTGGTGTTAGGGTGGGGTTCTATTGATTATGAGTATACATGTGTAATGAAAATGCATAAATGCTTTTAAAAAAAATCTCCTCTGCTCCTGCATATTAACCAATGAACTTACTATGTACATATTTATGATTAATAGGAGAATGCTTCTCCCCCTTTGAAGTCTGGGCCATGAGTTTTGGTGTTAGGGTGGGGCTCTTATGATTATGTAGTGAAAATGCATGTATTGTTTGAAATTCTTTTCCTTTGCTCCTTGGTATTATGCATATGATCTTAGTTTGAAAATAAATTAATGCTTTCAAATCTGCTCTGTGGTATTAATCAACCATATATGAGGAAATAAAATTTATGATAAAATTTCTAAAAATTTGAAATATGTCACTTCACGGTCAGTAGTTCCAGTGGGGTGGTGTGCACATCTGGTGTTTATAAAGTGGAAATGCATTTTCCGTTTGTTACTCTGATCTACCTCTGGGTATTTTAAAAGTAACCGAAATAAGCATGCTCAGTGAATAATTATCACAAATAATGGCGCCTCTGAGAAAATTGCTTATACAAAATTACATGTATCAAGATTTTTGGTACTAGTATTTTAAAACATGAACCAAATTCAATTGTTGGAAAGTTGTTACATGGTACTCAGGTGACATATAAGGCTCATGGGCCTCTTGTTCTCTATTATATTTTGCTATGCTCTGCCACGAATATGGCTGGGGCATATAGTGTTGTCAAGTCCGTCTTCTGTCTTTCCATCTTTCTATCCTTCCGTCCTTCTGTCTGTCCTTCCGTCAAACTTTGCGTTTAGCTCTGTTCAAAGCTCAGTTTCAAAGAAACTATCCAAGATATTTTCATCACACTTCATATGCTGATAGATATTGATAAGAGCTATGCAACTGCATTAACATTTTTTGACCTCTCTGACCTTGACCTCACTTTTCATAAATTAGTGTTTAGCTCAGTTTTTAACATACCATTCAAGATGGTGTTATCAAACTTCATATGTTGATACATATTGATGAAAGATATGCAACTGCATCAACATAACCTTTCCTTTGACCTTGACCTCACTTTTCCTAAATCAGTGTCAAACTTCATATGCTAATACATACTGATGTAAGCAAATAGGCAATTCAACTGCATCAACATTTTGACTTTGACCTCTCATTTGACCTTGACATCGCCTTTGACTTTGACCTAACTTATTTTTAGCTCACCTCAACGAAGTTGGGGGAGCTTATGTAATACCCTCGGCGTCGGCGTCCCAGGTTAATTTAAGTTTTTTGGAGCAGTTTTCTTTTTAAGTGCTTCTATGTGCTATATTGATTAGACATGCATGGAAGATGGTTCTAGTGTGTTTCATTGTACCAGTCAAAGTTTCAGATGCTGCAATTTCAGCAGAGGAATGACCAGGTTAATGTTTTTGGAGCAGGTTAACATTTTTGGTGCAGTTTTTGGTGTAGGTTTCATTTCCAAGTAAGTACAATCCCTATGTTGACCAAACTTGCATGGATGATACATCTAAGGATGGATACAACTGGGCTTGCTTCGGATGCTAAATCTGACCTTTTTCCGGTTGAGTGAACAGGTTAAAGTTTTTGGTGCAGGTTTCATTTCCAAGTAACTATAAGCCCTATGTTGACCAAACTTGCATGGATGATACATCTAAGGATGCATACTACCGGGCTTGCTTCGGATGCTGAATCTGACCTACATTTTCTGGTTGAGTGAACAGGTTAAAGTTTTTGGTGCATGTTTCATTTGCAAGTAACACTGAGCCCTATGTTGACCAAACTTGCATGTATGATACATCTAAGGATGCATACTACTGGGCTTGCTTCAGATGCTGAATCTGACCTACATTTTCCGGTTGAGTGAACAGGTTAAAGTTTTTGGTGCATGTTTCATTTGCAAGTAACTATGAGCCCTATGTTGACCAAACTTGCATGGATGATACATCTAAGGATGCACTCTACCAGGCTTGCTTCGGTTGCTGCATCTGACCTACATTTTCCGGTTGAGTGAACAGGTTAAAGTTTTCATCAAGAGATGAAAATTCTCAAATTTGCTTCAGTTGCTGGATTTTGATTACATTTTCATGAAGAATAACTAGTTAAAATTTTTTATATAGGTCTATTTCAAAGTATCAGATCAAAATTGCTTAAATATTTTCATTTTTGGAATGTACACTATTTGTTGGTTAATTGTGTGACTTTGCCTTACTTAAAGACAACATTCGTTGAGGTGAGCTCTGTAATCTCTGATTACTTATTTTTAATTATTGTGTAGCTCAGTTTTAAAGATACAATTCATGATATTTTTGTCAAACTTCATATGCATAGCTGTTACATACTGATGAGAGCAATTCAACTGCATCAACATTTTTGATCTTGAGCTTCCCTTTGATCTTGACCTCACTTTTCCAAAATCAGTGTCAAACTTCATAAGCTGATACATACTCATGTAAGCAATTCATCTGCATCAACATTTTTGACCTTGACCTTTTATTTGACCCTGATCTCACTTTTATCAAATTGTGTTTAAGTCAGATTTAATCAAAGAATTCATTCAAGATATTTTTGTCAAACTTCATATGTTGATACATATTGATGAGAGATATGCAACTGCATCAAAATTTTTGACCTTGACCTTTCCTTTGACCTCACTTTTCCTAAATCAGTGTCAAAGTTCATATGCTGATACATACTGATGTAAACAATCGTATTAACATTTTGACATTGGCTTTTCATTTGACCTTGACCTCACTTTTATCAAATTGTTTTTAAGTCAGTTGTAAAGAAACCATTTATAAATTTATGTTCAACTTTATATGCTGAAAGGTACTGATGAGAGCTTTTTAACTGCATGAACATTTTTGACCTTGACCTTACCTTTAACCTTTGACCTCACTTTTCCTAAATCAGTGTCAAACTTCAAATGCTGATACATAGTGATGTAAGCAATTGAACTGCATCACTATTCAAGATATTCTGGTCAAACTTCATACACTAATACAAATTTTCATGTTGCATTACTAATATGCTCTTGGTGGGACATTCATGTCTTGTGGACGTATTTCTAGTTTATATTTAGTCTGTCCATCCTTCTATAGAGTTTTAACATTTTTAATTACCCATATAACACTTGGCCAATTTCAATCATACTTGTGTTTTTATTTTGAAATATCCTTTGCTAGTGTAGCTGGTAGATTTTAAACTATTGCCAGCACAAACACCTTTGTTCTCTTCCTTCTTGGGAAATGTTTAACCAAAAGTGAGATTTAATGCTAAAATAATCCCTGATTAAAATGCTCAAAATTAATAAAAAAGGGTTTTTTTTTAGATGCCAAAGAGAAAAAGAGCTATCAATAATAGACAACGGCGTGAGAGAGACAGAGATCGTAAGAGGCAGGAGAGACAGAAGTCTGAACCTGAAGAAGCATCAGAAGACAAAGTGTCAGAGTTCTCTGTCCTTGGCAGGTCAGAGGATGGAGCTGTCTTAGCTCCTCCCGGTAATTTTCCGGGGCTTGGTTCCATGGGGTTGCCACCTAAAGAGGAAAAACCCCTGGCCAGGGTGCAGGCCTCACCTAGAGTGAGAATGCATTCACCTGCCCCGAGGTTGCCACCTCCTCGGGGAAGTCGTCTGTTTGTCCGCAACGAGGACAAGGCACCGTCCCCTGACTCCCCACCGTGGGTTTGTGCTCCACCGAGGGCACCTGGATCGGACATTGGGCATATGTCTGGTCCAGCAGGTCAGGCGCAGCTGGATACCTCCAGGGAGGAGGAGACCAGTAGAATATCAAAAGATGAGGGCACTTTAACTGATTTTAAAACTGAGTCTGAACGAATATTGAAAGGAAATTTGAACGAATACAATATAGAATCTGAAATGAAAACAAGTAGAAATGAGAATGAGAACAATGAGAAACATACAATTTCAGAGACTTGTGATAAAGAGAATTTGAATGAAGGAAATGAGTCTGAACGAATATTGAAAGGAAATTTGAATGAATATAATATAGAATCTGAAATGAAAACAAATAGAAATGAGAACAATGAGATATATACAATTTCAGAGACTTGTGATAAAGAGAATTTGAATGAAGGAAATGATCCGTGTTGGCAGAAATCATGGAAGAGAGGTAACTATGACATAAATTACTCAATCCAGGGTTCATTTCATCAGGCTCACCCTATATTTGAAGACAATGCTGGGACACAATGTGTTGCTAATTGTTTAGCAGGATTAGCTTTTCACAAACTTAAAAATGCTAAGAACTGGACAACAATGGATATGGATAGGATTCTAATGACAGGTGATGAATTGTATACATATCTGCAACGGAGCTCATCAATCACTGATAGGTATTTACTTGTTGAGGAATTACCACAACTCTTTGAATGCTTTAATCGGTCATACCAATTCCATGCAAATGAGTCAGTTGCAAGTGTTATTATGGCCAATGATTGCTTAAACTATGCAGAGTTTAATGCATTACCACTATACACAGCACTACAGGTTGCACTTACAGACACTGATGGCTGTTTTGTATGCTTTGGTGGAAACACTATGCTAATAGGATCAACAGAAAGTGGATTCTTTGCATTTGATTCCCATTCTAGATCTTCTGATGGAATGTTAAGTGTGACCGGAAAGAGTACAAGGATTTTATTTCAAAATGTAAATGAGGTGTATTCATATCTTCAAGGTCTTGCTTTTTCAATGGGATATTCAGAGGGTGTTGAGTGTAATCTGAGTGGTGTAACCTGCAAAATGAATTATATTGCAAGTGTCAGTGCTTTGCTTGAGGAGGAGGAGGACGATACAAGTAAATTGCCTAAAAGTTCAGAGCTATTGGTGGAAACTACTGTTGAATCCTGTGATAGGAATGTTGATGTGATCTTTGTTGGTCATGAACAATTACAGTATAGTTTTATCCCTCTGACTAATGATATGAAAAAACAGATTTGTCACGAGTTGAACATTCCCTTCATTTGCAGAAGAAATGCTTGTGAGGTCCAGTGCTATAAGACTAATATCACAGAACCTAGGTTTGAGAAAGAAATTATAGGGGATGGAAACTGCTTTTTTAGGGCTGTTTCATTCAGTCTTACAAACTCGGAGGATTTCCACAACATAGTGCGTAAAGCTGTCTGTGAACATATGATGGGAAACAAAGAATTATTTAAACCATTCCTAAAAGATGGTGTACAATCTGTTGAAAGTCACATGTCCTCTACTCAAATGTCACAAGAAAGTACATGGGCTACTGAGGTGGAAATATTTGCCACAGCTCATATGCTGAACACTGATTTATATACATACTCAGGAGGGTGTTGGTTAAGATTTTTAGTTGCTGAGGTGGATCCTTGTAGGCAAAGTAGAACTGGTGCAATTTATCTGAATCACCACCAACAGAACCATTACAATGTAGTTCTCTCTGTAAATGGAGAAGAAATGGACTTGCAATCAATGGAACAGGATAAAATTCCTCAGGAATATCAAAAGCGATTCCGAAACCGAACACGTATGCAAGAGAGCAGGCAAGTTACATCAAAAGTACAAAAAATATTAAGTGCATCAGAGAAACGGAGACAGTCCTTGAGGAAAAGGTACCAGGAAGATGTACAATTTAGAGAGAAGAAACTGAAATTGGCCTATCAAAGGTACTTGAATGATGAGGAATTCCAAGCTAATGTAAAACTTGTTAGCAAAACAAAGTATTGTAATGATTCTGACTACCACAGTAAAACTAAAGTGAGGAGCAAAAAGAGAAGTTTTGAAAGGTATTTATCAAATGATGACCATAGGGAAGAGGTCAAACAGAGAAGTATTGACAAGTATGCAAAAAATGATTATCATAAGGAAGATGTGAAAAAGAGAAGTATTGAGAAATATGCACTAGATAAAGAGCATAGAGATGGTGTCAAGAAGAAAAGTATCGAGAAATATGCAGTAGATAAAGAGCATAGAGATGGTGTCAAGAAGAAAAGTATCGAGAAATATGCAGTAGATAAAGAGCATAGAGATGGTGTCAAGAAGAAAAGTATCGAGAAATATTCACTAAATAAAGAGCATAGAGATGGTGTCAAAAAGAGGAGTATTGAGAGGTATGCAATAAATGAGGAACATAGGGAAGAAATTAAAAAAAGAAGTATTGAGAGATACGCAACAGATGAGCAGCATAGAGAGGAAGCAAGAATGAGAAGTATTCAGAAATATAAAAGTAATGCTGAACACAGAGAAGACGTAAAGGCAAAAAGCAGGCAGAAGTACAAATCAGATGAAATGTACAGAAATCTTGTAAATACTGCAAGTATAAAGAGATACAAAGAAAATGAAAACTTCCGAGAAAGAAAACTTCATGTTGCAGCTGAGAAATATAAAAGTGATGAATGTTTCAGATCGAAACGAAAAGCTTTCAGTAAAAAACAATACGATTCCAGTGTGCTAACGAAAATGCAAAAAAAAGCAAGGGTTAAAAGTCGGAGAATTGCTCATCAAGCTAGACTTGAAAATCAGGAAGAGATTGTGAGAGTGTTTAAAGGAAAAGCTATGCAGGGTATAGATTATTCATGCTGCTGCTGTGATCGTCTCTTTTTTCAAAATCAAGTTCAAAGATGTGAACAAAAAACATATTCAAAGAATGAGGAAGCAGCAAATATTGCAGACTTGTGCATTCAGGAAAAGTATTGTCATCAGTGCTCAGAGTCATGTACGGAGAACTGCGTTAAGTCCAAATTATGGATTTGTTTCACTTGCCACAGGAAGATCATGAGGGGTTCTCTTCCAGCAGAAGCAGCATTTAACAAAATGGCCCTTGAAGATATTCCAAAGGAATTGAAAGACCTAAATAGCCTTGAGAAACACTTAATTGCAATACATATACCGTTTATGAAAGTCATGGCTCTTCCTCATGGTGGTCAGAAAAATATTCATGGGCCAGTTGTATGTGTACCATCAGATCTGATGAAAGTTACAAGTTTGCCAATGAAACCTGGAGAAGATCTGCTGCTTAGAGTGAAACTGAAGAGAAAGTTGAATTATAAGGGGTACATCGAATACCAGTTTGTTGATCCAAAGCACATATTCAATGCATTAAATTTTTTGAAACGAAAGAATCAGTGGTATGAAGATGTAGCTATAGATACAAACTGGAAAGGAAATTGTAACGATTTTCAGGAAATGTCAGAGAGTGATAGTCTATTAGATGATGATGATGATCGGCAGTACATTGCAACAGATACTTGTTTACAGCCTGTTGATATTGGTCAGGAAGTTCTTGATCATTACTTTGATGATATTTATGATATTTCTCCAGGAGAAGGAAATAATCCAGTAAGGATGTTACAGGAAGAAGGAAATGAAGCTAAAACATTTCCATTCTTGTTTCCAAGTGGACGTTTTTCATGGAATGACAATAGAGAAATACGAATAACACTGTCGAGATACTTCAACAACCGTCTGATGAATACTGACGGAAGATTTGCTAAAGACAGTAGTTATATATTTTTCAGTCAGTTTTTGTCTGATTTAAACCAGGTTATAGAAAAGACACAGATATCAATTAGAAAATCAGTCAGGAGATTAGGCAGTGACCAGTTTGTGACATCAGATATGGTACAAAATCCTGAAGTACTTTCGAAGTTGATGAAAAATGATGAAGCTTTGCGATTCATGCAGCCCATACGTGGAACGCCAGCATATTGGTCAGCAGCGCAAAAGGATCTTTTTGCTATGCTTCGGCAGTTAGGAATACCAACTTGGTTTTGCTCATTTTCTGCTGCGGAGCATAGATGGAATGATGCCGTTGCTACAATATTGAGACAACAATGCGATAGCAGAGATCCTTCTTTGATGGATTGGTCCGAAAAGAATGAGGTGCTGAGAAGTAATCCTGTAACAGTTGCTAGGATGTTCGAACACAGATTTCATCTTTTCCAGACAGAAGTGATATTTTCACCATTGGAACCAATTGGAAAAGTATCAGATTTTTTCCAAAGAGTCGAATTCCAGCAGAGAGGGTCTCCTCACATGCACTGTTTATATTGGATAGAAAATGCTCCAAAACTTGACGAAGACGGAGAGGAAGCCGTATGCAATTTCATTGACAAATATGTTAGTTGTGCAGTGCCTTCTCAGAATGAAGATTTGGAACTGAGGGATATTGTCTTGGCAGTACAGCAACACAGCAGAAAGCACTCGAAATCATGCAGAAAGAAGGGCACAGAATGTAGATTTAACTTTCCTAGACCACCTTCTGTATGTACATTCATAAATTCTCCTGTCGAGCAAGAGAGCTTGGAGAATGCTGCAGAAGCTACTGATTTAAAACATGAACGCTCAATTTCTAGAGAAATATTACTGAGAGTTTGGAATGAGGTGCAAGATGAAGCAAATGAAACACACACTACAGAAGAAATTTTTGAGCATCTGGGTTTGACACAAGAGCAGTATGAGGATGCACACAAAAGATTAGCAAAGAAGAGAACAGTTATTCTAGAAAGAAATCCATGCGAGCTCTGGATCAATCAGTATAATCCATGTCTTTTGAAATGCTGGGATGCCAATATGGATATTCAATTTGTTTTGGATCCATTTAGCTGCATTGTCTACATAATTTCATACATTTCGAAGTCTGAGAGGGAAATGGGAATGGTGTTGAAACAAACCAAAATAGAGGCAGAAGAAGGAAATGAAAGTGCACGAACAACTTTAAAGAAAATTGGTTCTGCCTACTTAAATCACAGGGAAGTGAGCGCACAGGAAGCTGTATATCGTGTATGCAACTTGAAGATGAAAGAATGTTCGAGAAAAGTAGTGTTTGTACCTGTTGGGGAAAATCCTACTCGACTGACGAAACCATTGTCACAGCTGAAAAGAAAACATAGTCTGGGGGACGATGAACATGATGAGAATGACGACGATGAAGAGGACATTTGGATGACAAATATAGTGGAAAGGTATGCAAATCGACCAAATAAACCTTTGTTTCAGAATATGTGTTTGGCAGAGTTTTGCTCAGAATTCAGAGTACTTGCTAAATCACAGGTTCCAAAGAGTTTAAACGAAAATGTTTTTGAACTCCAAAATAATAAAGGTTTCATCCAAAGAAGAACACGCACAAAGCCAGCTGTAATAAGATATCCCAGATTCAGTGCAGAAAAAATGTCAGAAAAGTATTACCAAAGCCTGCTTCAATTGTTCTTGCCGTACTGGACAGAGCCTCAATTAAAGCCTCCAGGATTTGATCTTTATGAAACATTTTATGAAAATGGACATGTGCGAATCACAGGAAAGAAGAGTGTGCAATCAGTGAAATCAATTGTTGATACAAATCGATTGCGTTATGCTGAAAATGAAGAACTAATTGAAGAGGCACAGGATACTTTCGAAAACATCGGAGAACCCGAGGATGCATGGGCAAACCTTTGTCCTGAGACAGAACTAATGAGAGAGGAATGTTCTTATGAGAGAAATAAAGGTTTGGATCTGGATGTGACAGAAGACTTGCCAGACATGCAAACAGAAATAAATTGTGATGTTCTTTTCAAAGTAGAACAGAATATACAGTCAAAGGAGGAGACAATACAAATCCTACAAAATTTAAACGAGACTCAAACAAAGGTATTTTACTTAGTTCGGGAATGGTGTTTGGCAAAACATTTTGGAGAAAAAACTGACGCCCTGCACATATTTATAACTGGTGGAGCAGGAACAGGCAAAAGCCATCTAATCAAAGCCATACATTATGAGGCATCACGAATACTTGGAAAGAATTTGACATCTCCTGACAGTGTATCAGTACTACTTGCTGCTTTTACTGGAACAGCTGCTTTCAATATTGGGGGAAATACTATCCATCATTTATTTTCACTGCCCAAATATATGTCTTTGCCATATGAACCATTGAGGGAACAGAGTCTAAGTGAAATGAGAGTGCATCTTGGAGACCTGCAAATTCTGGTTATTGATGAAATTTCAATGGTTTACAAAAGATTATTGTACTATGTTCATGAAAGACTTGTACAGATTAAGAAATGCAGGGAACCATTTGGAGGAGTTTCTGTGATAGCTGTTGGCGATTTCTACCAACTTCCTCCAGTAAAACAGCGTAAAGATGAAAGGCTGTATAAAGAAAATGCTGCTTACCCTGTTGATCATTGGCTTGACCTTTTCAAAGTGGTGGAGTTATCTGAAATTATGCGGCAACGTGAAGACATCCCATTTGCAACAGCATTGAATTCACTTCGAAGTAGAGAAATAAAAGAACCACTGGAATATGAAACAGATTCTATCTTGAAGGAATGTGAAAGGGAAGGGCCACATGATGTACTTCACGTCTACGCAACAAATGACGAAGTAAATGCTTACAACTTGACAATGCTCAGGGGAACCTGTGAAGACATTGTTGAGATTGACGCGCAAGACTTTACCAAAGATAGATCATCAGGCAAGCTTATCTTAAGAAGCAAGCCATTGACACGGTCGAGGACAGACAATCTTTCTAGCAGTTTGTTAATGGGAGTTGGAGCAAGAGTCATGCTTACAAGAAACTGCAATGTAGAAGACGGACTGGTAAATGGAGTTATGGGGCATATAACGCATTTTGTATATGGTCAAATACATGGCGTAAACAATGTTGTTGCAGTAGGAGTAATATTTGACAATATCAATGTTGGCATGAAGTCCGGAAATAAAACAAGAAATGGAAACATTGTTCTGATTGAAAGAGTTCAAGAGGAGATACTAGAACAGAAAACAAAGAATGTTGTTCGACATCAGTTTCCATTACGATTGTCTTGGGCTTGCACAGCTCACAAAGTACAAGGCATGACAGTTGACAAGGTTGTAGTTAATTTAGATCGGACATTTTCTCCTGGACAAGGATACGTTGCGTTGAGCAGAGTTACATCAAAACAAGGATTATTTATTGAAACAAATGACATTGAGTCGTTCAAGAAAAAGATATACGCTGACCCAGAAGTCAAATCAGCTTTGCAGGGAATGCCAAAATTGATACTACCAAACTTTGATGCATCAGAACAAGGTATTACAATCTATCTACATAACATTCAGAGTCTCAATAAACATTTTGAAGATCTGAGAAAGGACATTCGCTGTAGGAATGCAAACATTATTTGCTTGACAGAGACTTGGTTAAGATCTGGACAAAACGTTAGTTCATTGAAAATAAAAGATTTCCATTTTCACCAAGCAACAAGAGGAGATGTATATGATGAGACCAATGCTCAAATGTCAAAGTTGCGTGCATCAAAGGGTGGAGGTGTTGCACTTTACATCAAAGAAACTGAACATGAAAAAATTGTTTCTTCACTTCCTGTAAAGAATGTTGAGGGCATCTGTGTGAAGTGTGTTTCACAAGATATAATTGTTTTAACTGTCTATCGGCCAAATTCTTTAGATGTTTCCCAGTTCTTATTACAATTCGAAAAGGTTATGTCTTATTACAAATCACAAAGTAAGTTCTGTGTTTGTCTTGGAGACTTCAATGAAGATGCCAGATCTGCAGGATCTATTCAAACTTTTATGACCAATCAGGGCTTTAAACAACTGGTTAATTTTAATACAACAGAAGGAGCGACAATCCTTGATCATGTGTATTTATCAACATCCTTACAAGCAGAAGTGAAAAAAATATCAACTTACTACAGTTACCACGATGCCTTGATGGTAACCATCATATCAGACACAGAAAAATATTAACTGTATTAGTTACATTTGCTAAAGTCTTAATTGTTCCCAGATTTTCTCGACATTTTTACATAGTACAGTATAACTTATCTGGCAACCAGTGGTTCCAGAATATTTGAATGAACAATACAGCATCCGGGTTAGAGAATATTGCACTGTGAAAGTAAGTTTAAAAAACATCGATGCAACAGCAGCAACAATCCATAATGCCTTCGAACGGATACAATAGTTTAACAAGCCCTGTGGCAATATACTGTAAAGCTATCTGTTTATTTTTTAATGAAAGTTGAAATTAAAAGAAAATCCAAAGAATCACACAAGAACACTGTATTTTAAATGCATAGCTATGAACAAAGACTGGTAACAAACGTTATGATTTTCCTTCTTTGTCTTCGAATTTTTCATTTATTTATTGCGTATAATCAAATGAAAAAATAACCTGCCCTGCGTATTTTTTTACTATTTGTTTATATAACGGGTAGTGGGTCTTAAATCTTAATCTGGGGGCAATCAGAGAAACAAAAAAAAATCTTGTCATATAAGTTGAAATTTTGTCCACTCAGCGTTTAACAAGAACCAATTAAACAACCAATGCAATCGCATAATATTTGTAGTGGAGTTATGATATATAACATCTATGGTTTTTTTCACTGATGCAGCTCTGCACAGACTTCATTATGAATATCTAAGATTCAACAGAAGTGATTTCACAAAAAACAAAATAGTCAGACAACCTCTATAGCCTAAACAATTAATTACATTTTGACACATAGAAATATTAAACTTTTACTTCATTCACAACACTTGAAATCTCCTGAACATGTTGAACGATCTTGTTTTAAAACAATTACCCAATCTTATTCGTATCACTTTTTTGTTTCAAGTTATTTATATTCAATTATTTCTTTCATCGAAACTATGTTTCGGTTCTATGACTTGATAATATATAAATAATAGTATTGACTTAAATTCACTGTAATGTTTCGTGTTTTTTTTTTTGAATTTTCAACAGAAAAATAGGAAAAATTTTTGCACGAACTGCTAGTGCTTCAAATGTACGGAAACCCTTCACACGATAATTTATTAATTAAGATATGATATCTTGAAATTTAAAGCTATCATTTAGATTAGAAAAAAATCATACATTTTAGTTTAAAAATTTGATCATTTTTCTATATCTTCATATGAAGCTCATATATTCTTTTAAAGGAGATCAATATGGTCTAAATATGGCAACTACCACCGAGTCAATTTAATACGTTTTTTTTAGCACAGTTTCTCTTCAAGAACATTTTTAAAAATATCTTTTTTATATAATTTTTTTTTTGTAATATTTCAATAATACTTTATATTTATTGCTTCTCATTTCTATTTCTACAACTATTTAAGATTTTGATGTCTGATCCCAATCTAAGGGAGAAAACTCTTCGTATAATTATCAATTAAGGAATATCTCAATCAAAATCATATCTGATATTATCAAAAAATTGGACGGAAGACCTACTCGTTGCTTGCAACGAGATCGTTTCTAGTTATTATTATTATTCTTTTTTCTTCTTATTTCTTCTCCGGACTTTTTTTGTCCGGAAGTGTTCTCAGAAACTGTTCACCCAACTAAGTTAAAACCTTTTTAGGATTAATAGGTGTGTTGTGTAGATGTGCTGAACGAAGGTCATTTTGCGCACATACGCCTGCACGTGCGGGCGCGTGAAGTGAGTTAAATGACTGATATACTTAATATAGCCATAACTTTTACATTTTTTGATGAAATGCTTTGAAACTCATTACATGAGGATATATCAATATTGTTAATATAATGACACTGTCAAATTAGACCGAACTCACGCGCGTGCACGTGCGCTTTGCTCTGATTGGCTGAAACTAAAATCTCAATATCTCTTTTGTTTTTTGATGAAACCCTTTCAAATTTTAAACATAGTCATGCATTAGGATATCCTACAATATGATATATAAAAAATTTCATGAAATCACGCGCATGCACGTGTGCTGTAATCTGATTGGCTGAAACTTTAAATGGCTATATCTCCTTTATTTTTTGACGAAATGCTTTGAAATTTAAAACGTAATCATGCATTAAGATATCCTACAATATGATATAAAAAAAAATTCATGAAATCACGCGCATGCATGTGTGCTGCAATTTGATTGGCTGAAACTTTAAATGGCTATATCTCATTTGTTTTTTGATGAAATGCTTTGAAATTTAAAACATAGTCATACATTAAGATATCATACGATATGATTCAGAAAAATATTTATGAAATCACGCACATACACGTGTGCTGCAATCTGATTGGCCAAAACTGGAAATGGCTATAACTCCCTTGTTTTTCAACCAAACAGGATGTGATTAAGAACATAGATAAATATAAGGGACTCTTACAAGAAGGTATTGTCGTCATGCACGTGCACGCACGTGCATGCATTTGGAATGAGTGAAATTAAAAATACACTTGAATGCCTGATTTTAATACTTTTGGACTGAATGCTTTAATATATACTATATTTAAATATGATAAATAGTGTAGACAAGATGATATGATCTTAACGCACATGCGATTGGGTGCAATGCTAAAATTTGAATATAATTGGTATCCTTCTGAGAAAACGTTGTTAAAGTAAAAAATGCACAGAATTTGTCTTATTTAATGAAGCTTACAGGGAATGTGGCACCAAAAGGGAGTTGGGGAGCGTTTGGGGAACATCTGTAACGGTGCCCGTTACAATTAGCACTAGTTATTATTATTATTCTTCCTGTGAAAATTTTGTCCACGAGTGATCTTGTAAACTACACATCCGACTAAGGTAAAATGTTTTTAGGGTCAGTAGACATGTTATGTAGATTTGCCCAACGAAGGTCATTTTGCGCGCACGTGCTTGCAAGAGCGCGCACGTGCAACACGAGAAATGACCAATATCATGGATATTGCTATAACTTTTCTTTTTTTTGATGAATTTTTTTGAAACTCATAATATAAAGATACATTAGTAGTATAGACAAGATGGCATGGTCAAAATAGCAAGATCTCACGCGCATGCACGTGCGCTTCGCTCTGATTGACTGAAACTAAAGTCTCAATATCTTTCTTGTTTCTTGACATAATCTTTTGAAATTTTGAACATAGTCCTACATTATGAAGATCTACAGCATGATATATAAAAATTTTCATGAAAGCATGCGCGCATGCGCATGCTGCAATCTGATTGGCTGAAACTTTAAATGGCTGTATCTCCTTTGTTTTTTGACGAAATGCTTTGGAATTTAAAACATAGTCATGCATTAGGATATCCTACAACATGCGATATAGAAAAAAATCATGAAATCACGCGCATGCACGTGTGCTGCAATCTGATTGGCTGAAACTTTATATGGCTATATCTCCTTGGTTTTTTGATTAAATGTTTGGAATTTTAAAATATAGTCATTCATTTAGATACCCTTCAATACAATAAAGATAAAAATTTATGAAATCACGCGCATGCATGTGTGCTGCAATCTGATTGGCTGAAACTTCAAATGGCTATAACTCCTTTGTTTTTCAAAGAAACAGGATGGGATTTGGAACATAGATAAATATAAGGGACTCCTAAAAGAAGGTGTAGTCATTATGCACGTACTTGCACATGCGTGCACGTGAAATGAGTAAAATTAAAAATACACTCGAATGAGTGTATTTTTTAATACTTTTGGATTAAATGCTTTGATATTAAGTATATTAAAATTTTAGATAGTGTAGACATGATAATATGGTCGTTACGCACATGAACACGCGTGCAATGCCTATTTTTGAATATATTTTGTATATTTCTGGGAAGACTTTGATTAAGTCTAAATTCCATAAACTATTTCTTATTTAATAGAGATTACAGGGAATATGGCACCAAAAGGGAGTTGGGGAGCGTTTGGGGAACATCTGTAACGGTCCCCGTTACAATTAGCACTAGTTATTAAGGTCTTCCGTCTTCACGGAAGACCTTATAGTGATTCTATTGTTTCTTATTATTATTATTATTAAGGTCTTCCGTCTTCACGGAAGACCTTATAGTGATTCTATTGTTTCTTATTATTATTATTATTATTAAGGTCTTCCGACTTCCTTCGGAAGACCTTATTGTTTTCCTTCTGTTTTCTATTATTATTATTATTATTATTATTCCACTTTTCATAGTACAGGTCATATCTCCGCTGTGCGTGGTTCAATTTGAACGATTTTTTCAGGGATGGTGCATCATGTTAATATCTCCAATGGTGTCCCTCACTTTTTCGAAATTTACTTCTATTCGCGTTTTTGGGGGAAATTTGTATTTTTTAAATGGAATTTTGTCCCAAAAAATTCTCGAGAACAGTAACAGATATAAAACTGAAACTTATGGACGTGATAGAACATCGAATGTAGATGTGTTGATCGACCTTCATTTTTCGTCGTTCTGACTTCCGGTCGCAAACGGAAGTGAATTCTAAAAGTCTAATTTTTCAACTTTTTTGTTTTTCACTTTTTTTCTTTGGAAATCACAGGGTTGATAGAGTATCTTTTAAGAACTCTAAATATGTTTTCAACATTTTCATGCGTGCATTTGTTGCAAAGATATGACCGATCCAAACTTTGTCTCACTGTCGGGGGTTCGAATCCCGCTGGGGGCGTTGCAAAATTTTTTTCTCTGTTTCTGTCTTTTTTCAGTTGCATATGACTTTTCTTTCTTTTTTATAATGTATGGAAGATTTTGTCGATTTTTAAAAGCTATATTTTGAGATATTTTGTGGAATAACTGTAATTATCACGATCTATGTTGAAAGACTGCTGTCAATGAAAGTAAACGATAAAAATACATTCTGAAATCTATTTCATGGCCTGACGGAGCAGAGATTTCTAACGAAAAGTCGGGAAAGACCTTTTGTTGCCCTAGCAACAAGATCGCATCTAGTTAATATTATTATTCTTTTTTTTTTAGACAAAATTTTATGCAGGCGATTTCTCGTAAACTATTCGGTG